TAAGGGTTTGAAGATATTGATTTGCGGTAAAGATGGGAAAAGCACTGACCGTACTACAAATATTGTTTACAAAGAAGTCTTTCGAAATGTTTAGTCTTTGTAGATCTCATTGTATGCTTCAAATGTTTACAAACAAGTGTTTCGAAATTTATTGTGTGTTTCGTTTTTCCCTCTTATCCTAATATATAAATCATACCTATTATTAATGATAACCATGGTTTTCTCTATAATTATTGTATATTGTTCATATATATATATATTACATGAGTATAAAAAATATCATCTGCACATACACTAATAACGTTAATAAATAAGATTATATAACTATTCGATAATATAGACCGCACATCGCGCGGGTGAAAATCTAGTATAGTAAAAACTGTGTGGTTGAAGTTTGTGATATCCAAAAAACGAAATTTAGCAAACCATTTCGGGAAGGAAAGAGTACTTTATAAGTTTACTGACCCTAAAAATTAGATATGACTAACTAAAAATAGACGAAGGTAATATAGTTGTACTTACCTCAAGATGCAAATTGACTGCGCAGTAAAATGCCGAGATGGATCGATGTACGGTAGAGAAATATTTACCAGTGTAAAATAAATACCTAGGGGTGGGCGCGGTCCGGTTCGGTCCGGTCCAATATTTGACCGAACCCGTACCCGGACCGTTACTATTGAAACGGTTCGGTTCGGTTCGGTCTTAGAACTAAACCCGTTCGGTACGGTTCCAATTTCAAACGGTACGGTACAATATCATACCAATATTAAACAATGCCATTTTTTCGACAAATTAAAGTTTAGTCATAATCCAAAAATCCACACAAATTTTCGACAAATGCAAGACTTTTGGGCAAGCGGGCTTGAGTCAGCAAACCGTTTGACTTTTGAGTATTTTTTAGATGGGCTAAACATATAAATACGGAGTAAAAAGTAAGACAATTGGGCTGGGCTTCACCCTATGAAGATGTTCCCCTGTGGGCACATACAACGAACTAGAAACTATTATAAATGTATACAAAGTGGCAAAGTGTAAACTGGAAAAAGTCATCAAATTCTATACATATACAATAATTATAAATTATTAATTATATAAATAATAATTCGGTCCGGTTCGGTCCGGTACCGGTTCTCATTTTACGAGAACCGGTAATGGCATGGTTTGGAACCGGTACGGTCCGGTTCGGGACAAAAATTTTGAGAACCATTTCGAACCCCGTTATTCGGTACGGTACCATATCGGGCCGGTTTGGTACCATGCCGGTTCGGTATTTTTGCCTGCCCCTATAAATACCCTTCAATTCGTCATCACCCTAAATAACGATCGATCTAGTCTGCCGGCCGCCGTGAAGAATGAATCGGCCGGAGTTGCAGCTTCAATTCTACCTTCGGCGAGATTGCTTGGCTTCTTGTTTCGACGAGCAAGCTTTACAAATGGGCCCCAATTTTATTAGGTTTAAATCTATTTTTCTTGGGGAGCACGTTTCCGCCAAAAGCTCACATGATCATGCATCTCACCCTAAAAAATGTGCAGTAATTAATCATCAAACCTATGAAATGTTAGGAGAATTATATTTATCAAAATCTTCAAACTGTGGATACCTATGATTCTATTAAATGTTCTCCGTATTTTGATTTATAAATTTTGGTTCGGACTTGAATGCATGATGGGGTCTGCGGATGTTACGGAACCAAAATACTTATTCTTATAGCCCGTTTGGTAGCACGAAAATCGGCTGTTTTGGCTGATTCTGCTGAAATTTATGAAATTCTGGCTGAAGTGGCTGTTTTGGCTGATTCTGCTGATTCAAGAAAAAAATATTTTAAAAATATATTTTATTAATAAATTATAGAAAAAATTACATGTAAAAATAGCTAAAATAGTCCTCTACAGTAACTTCAGCCAATACAGCCAGAAAAGTAACTCCAACCTTACTTTTTCTGCTTATTACACAATTCAGCACACAAAAGTAAAAGTTACGTGTTTGGTGAAAAAGCTGGCTGATAAGCCTGATAAGCCGAAAAAAGAGGTCTCCAAACGGGCTCTTATTACTTATTACTTATTGCTTATTCTTATTTTATTCAGATCAGATCAGATCAGATCAAAAAATTCAGATCAGATCAGATCAGAAAGATTCAGATCAGATCAGAAAGATCCAGACCAGATCAGAAAGATTCAGATCAGATCAGATCAGATCAGAAAGATTCAGATCAGAACAGATCAAAAAATTTCAAACATGATTTATCACTTTTATTATATAATAATAATAATAATAATAATAATAATAACAACAATTATTATTATGATTATTAATATTATGATTATTATTGAAGTGATTATTATTATTATTATTATTATTATTATTATTATTATTATTATTATTATTATTATTATTATTATTATTATTATTATTATTATTATTATTATTATTATTATTATTATTATTATTATTATTATTATTATTATTATTATTATTATTATTATTATTATTATTATTATTATTATTATTATTATTATTATTATTATTATTATTATTATTATTATTATTGTTATTATTATTACTCCATATTATTATAATTATTATTGTTATTGTTGTTATTATTGTTATTATTATTATTATTATTATTATTATTATTATTATTATTATTATTATTATTATTATTATTATTATTATTATTATTATTATTATTATTATTATTATTATTATTATTATTATTATTATTATTATTATTATTATTATTATTATTATTATTATTATTATTATTATTATTATTATTATTATTATTATTATTATTATTATTATTATTATTATTATTATTATTATTATTATTTATTTTTATAATTATATCTAAATAATGGAAATAATGTGCCAATTAGGCACAATTGTGGATAAAAGTACTCCACAAAAATGTGCCAATTGTCCTCACTCAATAGTTGACATATCTAAATGCTTCACTAGCAATAGGCAGTGTACAATGTGTGCTATGTATTAGGCACAAAACCTCACTTTCTCCCCATTTTCCATCGCTTCCCAACAATAGAGATAGGTTAATCATCATGATTCGTTTAGGCAAATTTGTGATTGAACACTACTCAAATCTTATACAAAAAGTTAACTTTTCATATACAAACTACAAAGCCGGAAATAAAACTCTTAAATAAGCAAAACTAAGGCTTCAAGACTTGTTATAGCTTAGGGTATGCAAGAAATGATGGTTTAATTAAATAGGATAATTATTCAATAGTAGAGGATAATACATTGTGATACTTTAAGGGTTGATACTTTGTTATTGGTTGAGCAATTCAAACGTCCAGTAAAACTGCAATAGCATCTATATCATGAAAAGCACGTACAACAACAATTTAAAACCGGCTGACGTTTGGTTTCAGTACATATGTCGTTTTAATTGAACATTCTTTAATTGGGATGGTGTATGGACAATACGTACAGGGACTTGGATCTACTTAACTATTTATTCTAAAATAAAAATTGATAGCTTAAAATAATTTTATGGAAACTAATTATTCTATTTATTCTAAAAATGACTTTGACATCTTAACTATTTTATCTAAAAATAACTAACTCTATTTTGAGACTACCAATTTTTCATATTCACTTTTATGTACATAAATAATGTGCGATGTCAGTTTAAAGACAAAATGAGTTAAAAAAAAGGGTGCATCCGTTTTTAGATAGTAATTTAATAATACCATTTAAAAAAAGTGCTATCAAAGATCATTTGTAGCTATATATGCTCATTGAGTCATACAAGATTTTTCAAAAGTTAACCTCATTATTAGTTAAAAATTGGGTGACAAGTCAAAAAAACTGATCACCAAACGAACACTAGATAAAATATTGCTCATTGTTAACTATTGAGTCTGTTAATTAACCTCAGAAATAGTTGGCTAAGAGATAACACGATTGATTCATATAATAATTTTGCACAAATTTGAATCTCACGTGATGCAAAAGCATCACTTATAGACATGTTCAGATACAAAAGTTTAATTAAATAAAGTTGAATTCATATTAGAAATCATAAATATTAATAACTTTGATTAGTTATAATGTTTTTAATTAGATTGATTTCAATTCCAGGCCAAACCAGATTTACACAAATAATTCAAACTAAACTTCAACATTATCAAAATACATACTACCTCCGTCCCGTTGGAATGTTCCCATAGCAAAACGGCACGGTTATTTGCGCAATAATTAAATAAAGTGCTTCGACTATATTTTGAGAAATAATTTTAATAGTTATATGTTATAATGTAGTTAGTATTGATAATTGTGATGTTATAAATGTATTATTTGTAAAATTTAATGATTAATTTGTCATTTAAGATTGTTAATTGTTTCCTAAAGTGGAAATGAGAACCTTCTAATGGGGCGTCCAAAAAAAGAGAGTGAAAACCTTCTAATGGGACGGAGGGAGTATAAAACATACATATACCCGAGACCAAATGGGTTTAGACCATATGAGAACAAATTTAAACACATTAGACCAAATTAAAAACGCTGTAAAGGGTGGGAATATACTTGGCACATTAATATTGTTCACTTCCTCTGCCGATGGGCACATATACTATATATAAAAATAATAGGCAGTTTAATATTTTTTTTTCTCAACATAGAAAATGCTATTAACATATTCTGTAAATAAACCCATTTTTTTACCATTTCAATCCAGATCGACGTACATGACACTGGACATGCCGACGGTTATACTAGTTGAATGCTATGCTGATAAATAATGTGCTTTATGACCATTTTGTAATTGGACTTATATTAATTGAACCGTGCAAAGAAACAAATGTATAAAAAACTAATACGTGTCTTTCGTATGATTAAAACTAATTAATAAATTTGACAGGGAAGTTGAGAAGAGAAAACACGGACGGGCTTCCTTAATGGGCCGGCCGCTTCTATTAACGATGGACTTGGTACATCAGGTGGGCTACTTAATGGATCTTCTTAATTAACACTTCGTCTTCCCACACCGGCTGACGAACAGAAGAAGCATTGCTTCATATACGCAGAGATGGGTGAGGAGATTGTCCCTTCGGGGACATCCGATAAAATTGGAACGATACAGAGAAGATTAGCATGGCCCCTGCGCAAGGATGACACGCACAAATCGAGAAATGGTCCAAATTTTTTTTTCTCCTTTCCTGCTTTTCCGGGGTATTTTTTGACGCCGTTGATATGCTGCTTCTGGGTTCCACCTCCTCTATTCTTGTGCCTTCGCGGAGGTTTTGGCCATTATCTTTAATGGATGCAAAAATTCATCGCTTAATTCTTAAGAACTCAAGAGGTGGCGGCTTTGGATGCGGAGGTAATTACACCCGACTACACTTATATGTCTTCAATTGTTTCGTTTATGGATACATGAGTATCGCTTCCAATGTCAGCATTTGTATGTGCTACCGATTATTGTTCCGAGTTTATTACCAGAAATCCTAATTAATGACCAGTACTTTTGTTTTGAATCCATTCATTTTTTTTCAACTTGATGATTCTAACTCCGGACTTAGCAACAAGGACTGGAAGGATATTGGATTTGCTCATGCCAAGGGTCATACACACTTGCCAATTATGTTCACCTAACAATAAGGGCTTCAAGAATTTGGGTTTCAGTGCAAGCTGTGTCCTGTGGATATCATATCTAGCTAATTGTGCTCAAACAACCATATATATGATACAAATCTATTTTTTGTTTGCACCTTCTTTTTCTCTCTGTATACATGCTCACTGCACTTACTTTAGTTTCTACTTTCTATGTATTGATGAACATGGTTACATTTCATTAAGTAGCTTGTATGCAAGCTGTTACTGCATTCCTCACTAGGCGTCTTTATCCCTTTACATTGTTATATTCTTGAGTTTAAATTAACTCTTTGTTTATTCCTTTAATTTCCTCCCTTGCATTTAAAGTTGCAGGTTGTTTCTTACTTCTAGTGTTCTATTTTAACTTTTTATTTCTTACCTAATACCTATAAGGAAAATGGGTTTTCAAGAGAAGATGCATCCAAGGCCCAGGAGGGAGCATGGTCTCAATCAAGCGTGTCCATATTTTGCTCATTTTGCTTTTCCAGACAAGCTATTTTCTTTACTCTTTGCTGAGATCCCGCTTTTATTTGACCAGAAACTCGTTTTCAAACACATTATTTGGCTTCTCACAGTAAAATTAGTATGGGTGGTCGTGTCTTGCAGAACTCACATGGATCAAATGCTCACAGCTCACAAAATCATATCCTTTATTCCCTGTTTCTCAATTTTCCTTTGAAGTATTATGCAACACTTTTGACCGATCAACAGAGTTTTAGTTTAGCAGCTCGATAATAGCTCTCTGCAATACCAACAAAATGATGTCCCATTCAACTGCACTTCATTTTTGGATTTTCCAAATAACTTTTCAGGATAGTTCATTCATGTCTTTGCCTGGGAGGAATGAAATCGCTGCCAGAACGGCCCACCGAAAAATCTACCACATGTACATATAGCTCGATCTCTCTTTCATTGGTTGTATCTCTATTTGTATGGGGTGCTTTTGGAAGTCGGAATATCATTGGGAGAAAAAGTGGGTGGGTGGGGGGGGGATTAATAAAGATTAATTTAAACTCATGATATTCTTCTTTAAAAAGATATATCTGCAATTTAAGTGCTAAGATATCTAAACATATTTTTTTTACTAGAGATATCTAAACATATTTTAAAATTCATATACAATAATCACACTCCATTTTGCTTTGCCTTTTCCCAACTAAAGCCAAATGTAAGAAAATAACTTTCCTCACAAGTTTCTTTCCTTGGCATATTCCAAAATCCTAACACAACCGTGGTGTTATGATGTATTTTGTTACTTTGGAATTCGGATATTGTTTCTTCTTTGTTTTGGTCTCATAGACTTTCGTCTTTCCCAAGTTTCATACATACCCTCATTTTTATTAACCCGATACTTGTGCGTGTCTTTAAAGTTTGGATGCATATAGGAGAACTACAGTTGTTTAAAAAATAAAATGGAGATGCACTGATATGGTGGGTTAAATGCACGTTTATCGTGAAGGCTATTAATTGTTTGTAGGAAATATAGACAGTTGATCAGAAATACAATGTTAGTTGTTTGTAGGTTTGGAGGAGATATCAGTTTCTGGCCTTTTAGATAGCCGGGAAAGGGTGGGATGTTGGTGTGGTAAACAGGCTCTTATATAGCAGGGACTGGGAGCTGATTCTGGGGATTCCTGGTAGCAAGAGGTCAGTCCTGGATCGTATCTTCTGGCCTTGGGATGAGAAAAGTCGCTACAAGCCTACAACGTAAATTGCAGCGGATTGGCTGGACTTGTGTGTGGAATCTCAGCATTCCACCCAAGGTCAAGCTGTTTCTTTTTCCTGCAAGTGTGTTGGTTAACTGCCTATTGCTGCTAGTTTGCTTCGAGGAGGGTGAAGTGGTCACAGCTGCACATTTTGTTATCTTTGGATAGGGACACGGCTTTTCACATATTTGTCTTATGCCAGTTATGAAAGGAAATATGTATATTTCTGAAATGAACCTATGTAGGGTTCGCATTTGGAAATGCTATTACCGACCGTGCCGACAGACAAGCTGTAGGGATCCATGGCTTACATGACTATTCTAGAGACTCTAAAGTTAGCTATGTACCCCTTTCCCTGCGGATTGATTAACAAATGGACAATGATATTCCGTTGCTGTAGGTAGATGAAATTTAATAACATCGTCGACTTCTCGACCCATGATTCATGAATTCTTCTTTAGAAATGATCTGGATAAAATGGATCCTGATTAGGTGATTTTTAATTCATGCTCTCAAAATCCACTTGTAATTCTTTAATTTATAACTAGTTTTTATTCCATAAATTTATCTGCAAGCCATCATTTTTAGCAGTGTTTATCATCAAGTATCTGATATTGCTTTATTTGAAGTTTATGATAGCAGTGAAACTCTTGAAGATAAGGAAATTGTTGAGGCTGGTTCATAATGATAAAGGCCATTTAAATGTGATTCTAGATAATGGCAATTGATAAGCGCGGAGCATATGGTATTGAAAACCGGATGAACCCATGAATGGAGAGAATTACTATGTCTTTGAAGGTTTGGCTTGAACGTGTTTTATGAAATTTGGTGTGTATATGATTTATTCATCACATTCAATTTATGGATTTAAAAATCATGCATAGACATTGTGTGAATTAGACTTAATCTTTCTTATGTGGATCAGAAATATTGAAAAATAGAGTAGCAGATATGGATTATGGGAACATACGATTCTGGTTAGAAATGTTTAATTTTTTCTGTTTTGACTTTTTATTCTTTGTTGTGAACCTGTTATTATTCTTTTTGGAACTATTTTTTTTTTATAGTTTCTTGTTAGAATGGTTTAATTTCTAGTTTTAGAAAATTTCAGATGCTCCATTGTGGCCTAGCCCCTCTTGTCTTCTAACAAAAAAGAGACAACATTGATATTTATAAAAGAGCTGCTTGTAATGTGGAGTAATTGAAATCAAAGAATGAGTAATACCTGCTATTTGCAAACTCATTTTTGGAATACAATTTGATTTTCCTTTTTAAACAAGAATGTTTCTGCGTATATTGAACTAAAAATGACTATATAAGAACTTGAGCAATACCAATGTCCAAAGAGTCTGTCTCATATGTTCGGTGGTATGGGGAAGGATGCTAAAGATGAGTCTAGGATGGAGCAAATTAAGGATCCTAAGGCTTCTGGTGCAGGGGATGCATGTCTAGCGATATTGACGGTACGGTGGGATGTTGGTGTGGTAAACAGTCTCTTATATAGTAGGGACTGGGAGCTGATTCTGGGGATTCCTGGGAGCAAGAGGTCACTCCTGGATCGTATCTTCTGGCCTTGGGATGAAAAAGGTCGCTACAACGTAAAGAGCAGCCGATTGGCCTTGGGATGGAAATGCTATTACCGACCGTACCAACAGACAAGCTATAAGGGATTCATGGCTTACACGACTATTCTAGAGACTCTAAACTTAGCTATGTACCACTTTCCCTGCGGATTGATTAACAAATGGACAGTGAACTTCCGCTGCTGTAGGGAGATGAAATTTATTTAATACCATTCTCGAGTTCTTGACCCATTATTCATGAATTCTTCTTTAGAAATGATTTGGATAAAATGAAAACCGATTCGGAGATTTTTAATTCATCCAACTTTCCCATAAAGGAAAGTTGGAAGAATTTTCTGGGACGGAGGGAGTAATTTATAACTTTAAAAATTACCAAATTAGTGTCTATTACTTTAAAGAAAATTACCCATTGTATGTGGACTTACGATGAAAATGTAATTAAATGTTTCTGGAGGTTGGGAAATATTTTCGAAATAATTACATATACTGATATACATGATTAAGAGCATCTAAAACGCCACAATTTGTACAGTACACATGTTGAATGAGAGGGATAGACACATAAATATTAATGAGCAATTTAACTCTCTCCTTATTTGACATGTTCTATTTGTTTTGGTAAGTTTTTCTACATAATATCAAGAAATGTGTTTGAATGTTGACATTTTGTTTAAAATTGTTGTGAAAAAAATAACAAAATTGGATTTTGAGTATGCACCCCATTTGATTGTTCAAATTGGACTTTGCAACGTGTTTTTAAAAAACTTTGTTTTGCACCCCAACCACATATGAAAAGAAAAAACTGCCCCTCCATTATCAATATTGACCTTCATTATATTCCTGATCGAGGGACATTTGTGTCTTTTCATACAGGGTTTGGGTGTAAAAGCAAAATTTTTTTAAAAACGTGGTGCAAAGTTCAATTTGGACAATAAAATGGGGTGCAAACTTAAATTCTTTCTTTGTTTTTCTGTGTCTATGTCTCTCATGCCACACGTGTACTGTGCACATTGTTTCATTAGAGATTTAGAGATGTTATAATATAAGGATGATAGACAAAAAACATAACATTTTATGCAAATTGACCCTCAAGTTATACTTAAAATAACTTTAGTCACATTTTTGTTTAAAACTTTTATATCAGAAAAATCGCAATTTTTTCTTAATGTCAAATTTTTAGGGGAAAATAATTTTAATACCCCAAACTTTAATATGATGTGAGATACTCCCTCCGTATCAAATTAACTGACCCGCTTTCCTTTTCGGGACGTATCAAATTAAAAGTCCCATTTCTATTTTTAGACATGGACCCCACCACCTTTTAACTTCTCATCATTACATTTTTACATTTTACTTTTTTTCTCCACTTATCCCATTATTCCTCCCCATTAAATCCCCATCCCACCCAACCATAAATCCCTATCCGCCCCACCTTCCCCATTAATTCGGCCATTATCACCCCCCCATTTCTCGAAGCATCCGTCTCTCCCTCTCTCTCTTGTTCAAACCTTCTCTCTGTTTCTCCGGTTTCTCTGGTTTCTCTCTATCTCTCCGTCGGTCTGGGTTATTGCCTCTTTGGTTGTCCATCTGGTTTATCTCGATCGCCCAACCCCTCCTCACAACCCTCCTCTCCATTCCTAATCTGTTGTCTGCCACCTTATTTCTGAGCTACCAATCCATCGCTCCTTTGCATGGATCCGTATGAGTCTGATTCTGAACTGATACTGCTTGATCAAAGGCTTAATGAAGGATGTCCATCACCTCCTTCAGAGAAATCGAAGGAAGGCCCTGTTCTGAGTAATGTCCCCATTCGCCTAGCGGATCCGGTGCCCGTTTCTGATTTGGATTCCCGAAGCACCGATTGTCCAGGCTGGACAACCTCTTCAGAAACTGACCCAGGCTGGCCTCTCCGGAGATTATTCGGGTCCGATTTGGTGGATTCAAGCTCTTCTGGGTTTGGCGACACAGATTCCGGTGAAGAGGAGGTGAACTCGAAGGAAAGGGCTGGTCCATGGGATGAAATTCGTCTGGATATTTCGTAAGGGATGTATTCCTAATCTCTACTTTAATTTGTGATTTGGTTGTGTGTATTCTGTATTCTGTAGTCCTACTCGTGTTTTGCATTATCTAAACCTGGTTATTGTTGATTTACTCCATTTTTATTAACGACATCATTCTAAAATTCTTAAATTACTTCATTCATTGTGACCAAATTGTGGGCTTATACACTGTTACATCAAAAAATAAAGACCTACTCCTCTATGCAAAAATATGGAGTATTTATACATGGCCTTGCAAAAAATTGTTTTAAACCATACTTCAACAACAAAAATCAAAACTGCCAGTGTTTACCCCTTTTATACAGTGGTCCCTTTCTTTATGCATCAACAGTTGCTCCTTCCTCCACTCCTTCTTGGTCCATTGTCCCTTGTTGCAAGTAGTTCATACATTCCCACACTAGTAGTGGGGGAGGAGCCACTGAAACTGGCAGCATGTTAAGCCTTTGTAGTTTCTTCTTGCCTATGTGTACTTGTGAATATGCATTGCCCCCCTTAACCTTCATTACTTCAATCATGCATAACTGTAAGCTTAGAAATACATGATTCAAGGAATGAGGATTGTATGCAATGAATGAATCATTGCAGTTCTGGACCAGTTCAGAAAAATTTGTTGTTGAGCATGTATCCTTTAAAGACTGAATAGCCCGGAATAGGCCCAAATCAAGGATATTCATATCCGGGCTATTTGATGGTTGATTCATTAGTTGAACATCCCTCCCCATCTTGTGAACTGCCAATATGAATTCATTATCATCTCCCTTGATATGTGGAGTTGCATTGTCTTGCTGGATATATATTGTCTTGTCATCATTTGGTGGCCACTTTTCATGAAGTGCAGGTAGTAGTTTGTTGATGATCATGTTTCTATATGCTACTTTGTTCACAACTGGTATCGGTTTTAGTTCTGGTGTGCCCTTAGGTCTGTTTTTGCTATTCCTTTGTGCCTGCACCATTTCAACAAAAGGCCACATCCCTATCTTCCCATCAAAAGTGCATTCACCTTCTGCATTGAACCTAGGCCTAGCAACTGCACATAAGAACATAACTTTCTCAATGAACCTTTTGCTTTTGGCTGTTCTGTGTGGTTCCATTTCACCGGGTACCATATAGTACTTCTGGTTACCTTTGGTTAGATAGAACCATTTCTCATCTATGTGGATAATGTTGAACATTTCATCAAAAACTGGACTTTCTGGCATTGCCTGTACTTTGAGGTGTGATAAGCACCATTGCAGCCTACTGATTTTGTTCTCAGGGGTTAAGAATGGCTTGATTGCATTTGAGTGTGGCTTTATTTCTCCCCTCTTGAGTAATCTTTGTACAGTTGATGCAGGAACACCCATAGCTGTTGCAGAGCTCCTAATTGAACTCCTTTGATGGAATGGAAGTGCTGAAAATGCCGCAATGTCCACTATTTTGGGCTTCCTTCCACACCTTCCCTTTCTGTTGGCGTTATGGTTCACGGGTTCTCCTGCAGCCCTGCATCTTTCTGACACAGTCCATAACCTGAACACTGTTTTGCGAGAGAGACCAAAAGCATTCGCAGCATCTGTGAATCCACCTCGCTTGACCTTTCCTTTGACTGTCCTTTGATTCAGGAAGTCCAGTACAGATGCACGCTCTGCAGGTTTCAGGTTTGGCATCGGTGATCGGATTTCTGCCCTGGAACTGTGGTCAGTGGTCTTGGATGGCTTGGAGATAGCAACCACAACAATTTCTATTGTTGTAGGAAGGCCTCCAAATAGCAACCAGACCTAAACGCCCTCTATGATGACAAAGTTTACCTGTTTAATGGCCGTCAAATGCCCCCCTCGATGATGACAACAAGTCTGAGAGGTTTTTCCTAAGTCTGAGAGGCGCAGGTCATCTACGAATCCACCATTGTTCTTGGCTCCAAACTCGTCACTTTCTCTTCTATTTATAGAAGTGCGAATATTTTGGAACTAATCTGGCTCCAAATCTAAAAAGTTGGCGCCATTATGCTGGCATTTTTTCCATTTACGAATTGCTACAGTGTTTTATTTTTTTGGGTGTGCGAACTGCCAACAGGGCCGAATGTATATGGCCTTTACGCTTTGCTACAGTGCTTAATGTATATGGGGTCCGGTTGTTTATACTCCTTTTGTAAAGTATTCCTCAACTTTTAATCATCTACAGTGTTTCTTACTTTATTCTTACTTTATCTACAGTACACCTACAATTTTTCTTAAACTACTACAAAAGCCTAGTGGGTCAATTAATTTGATACGGAGGGAGTAACTGATAAGTACTTCAAACTTGCATATGTAACATAATACCCCGAGCTTTATATCAAAAGTTATTTTTTCACACCATGATTGTATGTTTCTTACAAATATAAATCTATTGGAATAATTACATGCTCCCTCTGTCCAAGAATTACCTTCATACTTTCTTTTTGTCTGTTCCAAAATTATCCCTTGTTTCATTTTTTGGCAGAAAAATTGTGTTCACAACAATTCTTACACATCTCTCTCTCATACTCAACTTTCCATCACTCATTATCTTAATCCCCGTGTCAATTGTACTTTCGAAGATAAATTTGGGACAGATGAACACTCTACGTTTTGTTAGAATGCAGTCAATAACACTCTAAAATTTCATTTGTAACATAAATAATACGTAGTATTACATTTAGTACAATTTCATTTGTAACATAATAATACATTTAGTACAATTTCATTTTACTTGCATCCTCATAAATATTTTTTATTTTAAATTATGTACTTAACATCACAAAATTATATTTGCGAAAAATATATGATGATGGTGCTACTTTTTTTTTTTTGAATATTTAGTATTCATTATGACTAAATATTATTACTGTAAATTCGAAGTAGAATAATTTATTTAAAAAATGCAAAGTAATTTTCATAAAGCATGGCCTAAAATCTAACCCAAACCCTTTTGATGACATGGAAAGACTACCAACTATGTGGCATAAGTGATATGGCAGGTCAGGTGACATGGCCAAAAAATACCAAAGTTTAGGAAAAAAATTTAAAAGTACCCTAGCTAATTCGGGAAATAAGTTTTAAAACTACCCTACTTTGGGAAAAAAACTCCATACAAATAGGACTTTCATAATATCGGTTTTCTGGATAAATATTTTCCAATGTCCAAACCATCACACTTTAATAATTGGGTTTTTTATTTGAATATTACTAATTTTGAACCAATTACCAAAAAAGTGTCCACTTTCAAAAAGGGACAAAAAAGTGATCAAGAAGGTCATATTGATGTCATTCCCAGATTTTAATGTCACTATCATGTTTTAATGTCACTGTCAAATGTCACTGGTGTCATCGCCCGTGTCACTGCGGCCATCACCCGTGTCACTGCGGCCACTGCCCATGTCACTGCGGCCACCGCCCGTGTCAATGCGGCCACCGCCTGTGTTACTGCGGCCACCGCCCGTGTCACTACGGCCACCGCCCGTTTCACTACGACCACCGCTCGTGTCACTACGACCACCACCCATGTCACTGCGGTCATAGTAACATTGCCTCCAGTGACACCGTGACAGTGACATCATCTCGAGTGACACCGTCACAATGACACTGTCTCCGATGACGCAATCACAATGACACCACCACAATGACACCCCAACTTCGACCATAGTGACATCATCCAACTCAGTGCCTGCTGGCGGCAGCACCACCCTCCAACTGCACCTTCCCCTGTACCTGCACCTACCAGTCATAGCTCCCTCGAGAGTCCACAATACCCTTCCTAGCAGTCAGTCACGTCTTCAACCGACCTTCCCAACTCAACCAGCACCAACATCACCTACGTACCCAACCATCGACGACCGCCGCCGCACCCTAACTTTACTAGCAACGCCCAGTCCCCTCCCAGGCCCCAGCCCAACCTCACCTCCATCACTGTCCCCCAAAACCAACTCCGACCACCCCCAATCAATCCCTCCCAGCCTCACCTTTCACAGCCCTGCCCTGCCCACACCACCCGCCGATGAACCCTAGCCGCTGCCTTCCCCCATATCTGGCCACTTAATGGTCGCCATTTCAGATCTCACACTCCGAAAAATCTACCACATGTACATACAACTCTCTCTCTTTCATTTTTTGAATCTCTATTTGTATGGGGTACTTTTGGAAATCGGAATATCATAGGGAGAGAAACTAGTGGGGGAGATTAATTAAGATTAATTTAAACTCATGATATTCTTCTTTAAAAAGATGGGAAATTTACCGGGATATGATTAAAACTCAATGAGTTTCTCAATCTATGATCTAACTAGTTTTTATACCTTTGTATGACCAAAAATCCAAAAACAAATAGAAAATTCGTTTATATTTAAATGTTGAATGACAAAAATACCCTTATTTAAAATATGTGCATTTTGCACTAGTTTCGTCCAATTAAAATTACTGAACTTTATATTGCCGTTAATGCCTAAAATTAATGCACGTCTTCACTACACATCCGGTTATAATCACTGCACTTTTGCCAAAATTAATTCTCTTCTCATTTACTTGAGGAATTAATGCACAACATTACTGCACAACATTACTGCACATATGGCAATAATCACTTCACTTCGGCCAAAATTGATTATCTTCTCATTGACATTAAGAATTTTTTTATAGTTATTTACTTTTTTGTTTTTTTAGTTTTAATAATTTTATTATTTTATGTCTAATTAAATATATTGTGTTTCATGACGAAATTATTGCTTTATGTTATTGCATACCGGTCATAATCACTGCACAACAAACTTCCATAATGCATTCATTCAGTGTCATATACAACAATATGTACAATATGTTCAATGCGCTTATTCACTACTCCTATTTAATGCCCACAAACCCTAATTTTAGAAACTTCTCATTTCAAAAACAGAAAAGAAAAAAGAGGATGAAAAGCAAAAATAGAAAAGAAAAAATAAGCAGCGCCGCACTTTAATCAATGAAATTCTACAAACCCTATTTACTGCCTGCCTCACCAAATTGCTAAAAGCACAAACCCATCTTCGTTCCCAAAAACTCCAGCGCCGCATTAATTTCTCACGTCATCGAAATTCATCACCTCCGCACTCTCCATCCTCCCTGCTAGGTTTTGGCAAAACTCCGGAGGTTAAGGTAGGCACACGGGACAGAGGCGGGCGGCTGGGAGGCGGCGCGCATGGACCGAGACGGCAGAGGGGGCTGGTGGTCATATATGGTGGTGGCTGCAGGGAGCAATCGTGGGGCTAGGATGGCCTGGCAAGCAAGCAACTGATGCACATGTGACTGGCGGTCGTGCTCCTGGACGGCGACGGACAGCAGGCCATGGGCGGCGGCATACAGCGGGCCATGGGGCGGCAGCAGACGGCGGGCATGGAGCGGCGGCGGCAGTGGCGTGCGGCTGCAGGCGGGTGGATCTATGGAGGTGGGAGAATTGAGGCTAGGGTTGGAGAAAAGAGTAGGAACTTGAGGTTTTATAGATATAACCTAAAGGGTATATTTGTCCACTTAATTTATTTATTTATTTATTTATTCCGAATTTTAATTAATTATTATGAATTCTAATATTATTTTGGTATAAAAACTAATTAGGTCATAGATTGGAAAAGTGAAGTAGTTTTAATCATACCTAGGGTAATTATCTCTTAAAAAGATATATCTGCAATTTAAGTACTAAGATATCTAAACATATTTTAAAATTCATATACAATAATCACACTCCATGTTGCTTTGCTTTTTCCCAACTAAAGCCAAATGTAAGAAAATAACTTTCCTCACAAGTTTCTTTCCTTGGCATATCAGTTCGTATATCCTACACCCGGGTGTACGGGTGGGAACCGTACATTCGGGTCTATTTGTAATTTAATTCAAACTTCAGCCAAATTGTAATAAAGTTTAATGAAACTGACGAAGGCCCACAAAAAAGGCCCAACAAATTAAGAAAGACAACTCATTTAACTGATACAATCTAATTTTTTTCGGTGGTGTTTTTGTAATATAAGCGAATAATCACAGTTACCGCTAAATGAGCAATAGTGTACTTTTAGTGAACAACAAACTTATTTTATTGAGTATTAGGAGGCTAATAATGAGTATCACGATCTCTGCTTCATATCTTCTAATTCTTTTTCTTTTTGTTATTTTTTCTTTTATAAAAACTATTAAATTATATCTAATCCAGTCCTATTGATTTCAATATGCAAGTCTAATGTTATATGATACTTTTAAAATATGCATTGATATGACATTTTAAAAATGAGCATAACGTCAATATCAAATGAGCATACATAACTTACAGAGTGCACATTGATATGGAACTCGTAATGTTTGTGAGTTAAACATCATGACATCTTAATTGAGCATCAATCTCCGCTATTGAGATGAAAATCACGACTTCTCGAGAATTAGTAATAATGAACTTTTAATGAGCATCAGACCTATTATAATGAGTATTAGGAGTCCAATATTCAGAATCGTGATTTCTGCTTCATAACTTCTAATTCACTTTCTTTTTGTTATTTTTTCTTTTATAAAAACTTATTAAATTATATTTATAATCAACTCCTATGAATTTGAATATGTGAACCTAATGCAAAATAGAATAGTATATTTAAAAAATGCATTGATATGAGATTTACAAAATGAGTATAAGACTTACAAAATGCGCATTGAAAGATCGTAAGGTTTGTTAGTTGAATATCACGACATTTTCATTGAGCATCAAATCTCTTCTATTGAGATCGATGGAAATATTGATTTATGTTAAATGAGCATTGATGAATTTTTAATGAACATCAGACCTATACAAATGAGCATATGTAAATTATATCATTTAGAAAATGAGTATAAAATGAGTACCAGATGAGCATAGTAAGTTACAAAATGCGCATTGATACGAAGATCGTAAGATTTGTTAGTTGAATATCATGACATTTTAGTTGAGCATCAAATCTCCTCTATTGAGATCAATGATTATTAATGAATTTTTAATGAGCATCAGACTCATACAAATGAGCATATGTAACTTACAAGATGATCATTGATATGAAAATGGTAAGTTTTGTTCGTTGAACATCAAGACATTTTCAGTGAGCACCGAACCTCCGTTATTCAGTGTTAGAGTCGTGCAATTGAGTTTCATGATTTGTGGTCTCGTGTCTATAATCAAATTCTATGTGAATCTAATGTGAT